TAAAATTATTAGTCCAGTTTGTTAAACCAAGTAAGGTGATCCAAGTAGGATTTATTATTGGTTCTAAAGTAGGATTTGGTTCGAAATGCATTGAAAAAACTAGGGTGGCCTAAATAAGGTTTAAATTTGTATCCAAACGAAAAATATCATCTTCAAAATTCATGAAAATGTTTATGCAAAGAAGAACTTATTCTTTTTCTAAAACATTTTGTTTTGTTAAAACCATTTTAAAACATATAACATCATAAAAGAAATTCGACAAATGAAATACAAAGAAAAACTAATGGTATTTTTTGCACCATAAATAAAGTGAGGACAGGTTATAATATCTTTGATGACACATTGGCTATACCAAAACAGTCTTATTTTGAGTATAAGGTAAAAAATTAGGTGTTCCCGTACCCACAATAGAATCCAGACTTCTAATACCTTTTACGATAACACGACAATAATTCACATAATTGTCTTCTTTTTTATTGCATTTGTCATTTTTGTTCCAAGTTAGCTTCCGTGAATTTACCATTGAACAAACTTGAACTGCCAAATGTAGCGTTTAATTAAAACATTGCTAACTTTTACAGCTATATGGAATGAAAGTTGGCTTTAGATCTTTTACGAGGGAAAGAAACCTCAACTAAAGACTTMACCCTAAAAGAAAAACTGAACCTAAACAAAAAATTACAATAACTCATAAAACCGAAGTTTATTAGCTACTAGATCGGACATTTACTAGAGAAAAAAACAAAGGAACAAATGATCCCAACCTCAAATATCGGTCCCGAAAACCGAAGTTTCTTACCAGATCAAAGGTTGAAGATGATTCCAAATATAAAACTATCTCAAAGTGGAGATTAGAAAGGAGACATGAGACAAGCTTTCCTTCAATTGTTGAAGCCGTCAAACCAGGTGGCGAGAAATACCTTATCATCTTATGACCATAAACTCCAAGACACCATCTAAACTCCATGTCATACATACAAAATATTAGTTTACAATTCTCTCACAATGCCGGTAAAAAGAATCGGACAAAAAAAGTTCGATTCTTTATAAAAACACATTTGTTATTTATATCAAAATAAATCATAATTTTATCTCTCTCAAGGCCAAGTCTAACTAGTTTGGTCATGACTATAGTCTATTAACGTAACTTTTGTGTTTGCGTTAACATGAGAATGAATATTTTCATAACTAACAAAAGAATTTTGCTCATCAAGCTGTTTAAGCTTGTGGA